TCTCAATAATTCAAGCACCATGTATTTATTCCTTATTATTTAATAGATTTTATCAATTTTTATCTTGGATTAATATCTGTATTGTAATAGTGAAATAAATATTTTTGTAGATGACACTGAAAAGTTTTCCAAGAGGTGGGAAAAAAGTTCAAGAAGAAAAATCGTCGAATTTGGTAAATTTATTGCAAAAAACAATCATCGTATGTTAATGTTTTATAATTACTAATTAATCGGTATTTATGTTCAGCTATTTAAGAAACAGGAAAAGATCAGTAAGAAGAATCATAAGAGAGATAAAGCAAAAGCAGAGAATGAAGAAGAAGAAAAAAATTTTGTTGCTATTACTGCAGATCGATTGTCATATGCAACAATATCTGAAGGATTAATTGTGTTAGGATGCATTTCTGAAGTAACAGAATATGATTTAATGATATCTTTGCCAGGTGGCATAATAGGTCATGCTCAAATTACAGATATCAGTGATTCTTACACAAACTTGTTACAAAGTTTAATTAAATCAGAAAATTCTCAGACAAATGAATTTAAACTATTACCTGAGTTGTATTCTTGTGGAGAGTATGTTGTGTGTTATGTGAAAAGTATACAGCCACAAGAGACGTGGCAAATTGCAATATCTCTTGAACCCAGACTGATTAATCAAAATTTGAATATTAACCATATAGATGATGGTTCAAAAATAGTATGTACTATTAGTAGTATAGAAGATCATGGTTGTGTGGTAGATGTAGGCTTACCAAATGTAAGAGCATTTATACCTGCCAAAGAAAGTACTAATGAAAAGTGTTTATGTAAGTAAATTTAAATAACATTTGTTAATAAAACTGGTGATCATTAATGTACAAATTTTATTCAGTTCCAGGTAAACAACTTTTATGTTATATCAATGAAGTTAAAATAAGTGAAAATAATTCAATAATTAAATTATCTGCAGCACAAAAGTTAGCTAAGTCTACTCATAACACAGAAATCAAATCATTGGACAGTTTATTGCCTGGCACAACATTTAATCTGTTTATAAAAAAAGTTTTATCAAATGGCTTATGTGTTTCTTTTGGTAACAACTATGTAGGATACATAAATCAACTATATTTGGATCAACATTTGTCCAAATACTCAAAGGGAATGGAAATCACTGGCATATTACTGTACATTTTACCAACTGTCAAGTTTGGATACTTCAGTTCAACAGTACATAAACCTAGAGATAATACCATTAAATCTGGAGATGTTATAGAGGAAGCTACTACTTTATTCAAAGAAGCTGGTGGAGTAGTATTACAGTTAACTAAGAGCGGGATGCGGGGATTTGTTCCCTTAAAAAGAACGAATGTTGATTATGATAAAATTACTGAAAAATTTGTACCTGGTTCCATACATAAATGTAGAGTAATATCCTTCAGCTGGATGGATGGAACTTATTTCTGTACAATGCAATCTTCATTATTGGAACAGAAATATTTTTCTCTATCTGATTTTAAACCAGGTGATGTGGTAAACGTGAAAATTACAAACATTAATGAAGAGACTGGCTTCATTAACGTACAAATTGGTAAGTTTCATGGACAAGTTGCACCCGACCACGTGTCTGACGAGGGCTTAAGTGCTTTAAAAAAATTAAAAATCAACAAAGAGGTCGAAGCAAGAGTTTTGACCGTCAATACTGCACGCCACAGAGTATATCTTACTTTGAAGAGGTCACTGATAGCAACTGATTTACCTATACTAACTGACATACAAGATGCAAAATATGGATCAAAATATTATGGTACTATTGCACAGATAAATAAATACGGATTATTAGTAAAATTTTTTGGGGAAGTCAAAGGCTGGCTTCCAAAAATTGCCCTTATCAAGGGAACATCTGATGCAAATTGGAACTATTCTATTGGACAAACAATCTTGGTAAAAATTGAATCTGTGGACGAAGATTCAGGGAAGATGATTCTAAGCTTAGGTAGAAACAACTTAGGTACAAAAGTGGAAGAAGTTAAGTTCGTTATTGGTGAGCAAGTAGAAGGAACAATAACAGAATCGTCTATTCAAGGGGTGTATTTGCAAATTAGTCGAAATGATGGACAAAGTGTTAGCACTGGCTTTTTGCCAACTGGACATATGTCACCCTGCATGGACACTGCAGCTCTATTAGCATCGAAGTGCATACCTGGAGAAACTCTTTCTGCTTTAGTATTCGCTACGGTACCCAGCTTGATCTTAACGAGAACCATTTTACCCGAAGAAAAATACAGGAACTTCGAAATGTTGAAGGAAGGGAATTATATACCTTGTTCAATCAGAGACTTTGAACCAGATGGCATTAGAGTTATTTTACCAGTTACAGGAGGTGCACCTTTCGGATATATTTCTTACAGTAACGTTAGTAATTTTAATCTCTTATGCGTGAATCAAATCTTATTTGCAAAAGTCACATCCATTAATAGGAAGAAGAAGGAATTGGGTTTAACACTATCACTGAAAAAGATATTTGATGGACTGCGTAATTGTAGAAGCAGAATGGTGGTAGCTGTGGATACTTTGTCTTTGTACTTCAATAAGCTAGCAGAACTAGCGAAAAATTCATTTTACAAAAACAGACCGATTTCATCTGTGAAATTAGGACAAAGAGTTGTAGGAAAGATTGAAAAGATTACAAACGATGGTCTGGTTGTTCAATTGCCAAATAATTTGTTGGGTATAGTGTCTAAAGACCATTATGCTAGAAAAAAAAAAGTAGGAGATAAAATTTCTGGCACGATTATGTGGAAGAATTACGTGCATGAACTCGTTGAACTGACCACCTTGCCTTCTGTAATGAATAAAATAAGTGCAAAGCAAAATAAGCAACTGCAACTTCCTGAAGGGAAACTGTTCAAAGGTAAAATTTTAATGGTAACCAATTGGTTCCTTTTAATTGTACTAAAAGGTATTGGTAAAGGTACTTTGGCTGCAATGCCTACACGGCGTCACATGAACGACATACAGCCAGACTTATCGCCTTACAGCGTTCATTCAAAAATCAGATGCTATGTTCTATTAAATTCCAATGAATCCGATATTATGCCAATCTGTATGGTGAAGTCTGCATTTGAAAAAAAGTACTGTAAACAAACTGAACATAAAGAGGATAATAATCTGAAGAGAAAGACGAAGGTAAAGAAAAATAATGAAGTACCTGCTAAAAAGATAAAAACTGAAGAGGTTGAAGTTCCAGTTAAAAAAGAGCATAGTGAGGAGAAATTAGAAGAAGTTTTGGAAGAAAAGAATTTAATGAAGGCAAGTGTTAAACAAACCAGGCAAAAAAAGGTGAAAAAAGTTAAACAAGAAAAGGAGGATGAGGAGGTTAAGCTTACAGAGGAGGATAAAACAAATGTACATTATAACGTTGATGCTTACGAGGATAATGAGGAAGAACCAAGAATTCCTGAATGTGGATTTTTCTGGGATGATAAACCTGATGTGGCTTTACTCAAAAAGGAAGAATCATCCAGTGACAGCGAAGGGGAAAAGGAGCAAGAACCAAAGCAAAAAAAGAAAAAATTAAGTGGTGCTGAAAGTAGAGAACAGGAGAGACAGAAAGAGCGTGAGATTCGTCAAAGGGAAGAAGCATTAGCCAGTAATCAGTTACCAAATTCTGTGGATCAATTTGACAGACTGGTTCTGGCGAGTCCAGACAGTTCTATAATTTGGTTGCAATACATGGCATACCATTTGCAAACAACAGAAATTGAGAAAGCTAGAGCAGTTGCAAGAAAAGCGGTTAAAACCATTAATTTTAGGGAAGAGAATGAAAGGCTCAATGTTTGGAATGCTTGGTTGAATTTGGAATCAAAGTTTGGAACTCCTGAATCATTGAATGATGTTTTCCAAGAAGCTGTCAGAAGTAATGACTCACTGAAGATATACAGTCATATGTTAACTGTATATGCTGAAGCTGGCAGACAGATTGAGTTGGAGAAGATAATTAATACTATGATTGGAAAGTTTAAGCAGAATCCTCAAATATGGATTGACTGTGGTGCAACATTGTTAAAAATAGGTTTGAAAGAAAAATCCAGACACATTATGCAGAGGGCATTGCAATCTTTACCAGCATCTGAACGTATGTATCATTATATAAAAACCAAATTTGATATTACTGAATAATAATATGAATTGTTTTTTGCAGATGTGAATTTAATGGCAAGGTTTGCAGTTTTGGAGAACAAGTTTGGAGACAAAGAGAGATCACAGACCCTCTTCGAGCAAATTTTGAATTCTTATCCTAAGCGAGTTGATATATGGTCATGTTACATTGATTCTTTAATTAAATCCAATGACATTGATATAGCAAGGTAAAAATATTTCCAACAATCGTTTCTTTTAACATAATAAGGTACAAAACTAGTTGTTTTTACAGAAAAGTACTGGAACGGGCTGTTGTACAGACTCTGCCACCTAGGAAGATGAAGTCCCTGTTCAAAAAGTTCATCAACTTTGAAGAGCAGCATGGTACTCAAGAAGACGTGGCGCGTGTTCAGCAGATGGCTGTTGAATATGTAGAAAAACAATGTAACAAAGATGCTTGATTGATTCGAATGATAAAGTTTAAATAAAACATTTTGCACTCACGTTTCCGTACATCGTATTACCAAACTTTAATTTCAAGATTATCATTTTCGTAATGGATTTTTCGTCCTGTTGTACAATTTTGACACAATGTATTCATATATTAATTACCAAGTATTATCAATCACTAAATATTAATTAGTAATACTAATATGTTCAATTAGTAATAGTAGATAAATGATTTCAATGGAAAGATGTTTCGCAGGTCGAATGTGATTGGTTGTAGAAATGGTTGTGTACGGTGGAATGTGGCAACAGTGGCACTAGTGTTCCACCCTAGGCAAGCGCGACAGCATTTTCTTCTGCGCTAGCGCAGAATGCGGTAGTCGCGGAAGCGATGACTGTCAACGCGGAAATCGGCAACCTTGTAATCGCCATATTGTTTGCACGCACGTTGCGCTAGGGAGTCAGTGGTGATAATCTTGTGGGTGTCGCAAGTGCGTTCGAGGAGGAAGTGTCGATAAAAAGGTAAATACTCGAGGCTGACTCCAAGGTGGCGAGGCTACGATCGCACGGAGTCACCAGTTAAGAATTTCCTGTATAGTACGTGGCGTGATCGACATGAAACGTGCTGGTTAAATCGATCGTCTTGTCTCGAGACTTTCGTGGCGTCGTGCGACTATCTCCTCGCCTCGAACACGACGAAAGTCCCGAGTGTTCGTTGCGGTGACGTCACGGACAGTTCCGCGGGATGCCTCACTTCCCCTTTTCGTCCCCGTAAAAGGTCGAAACCTTTCATCTCGTTTGAAAATCGAAGATATGACCATGGTAACGCGAAGAAGTTCATAACACTGACATTTTGTGCATACATATGTACATATCAGCTTGGACAAAATAATCAAGTGAAAAGCATACGTACTCGTTGAGGCGTCAGCCCGTGAGTATTTCCTTTATCTAATTTCTATGAATGACTCGTCGTATGTATGAATTATATATACCGGTGGTGCATTTTAACTTTGGAACGTGAGAAATGCCAAAGGCCGTGTCCAAATGAACGTCGTGTATCTTTCTCTTTCTTTTTCTTCTTCTATATGTTTGTCTCTCTCCCACTCGGCGCCCGCTCGCCCTTCTTACCCCTTCCATGTGTCTGCATCTTTGTCTCTTTCTCACTTTCTCGCTCTCTGGCCTCGTGAACACGGGGTTAGGTTACGAATCGCAGTGGCTCGATAAAAATATTCGAAGTATCGAGAGTAACGCCTTTATTCTCGGAAAATTGTCCGTCAAATTACATGCACGTGTTTAGAAAAGAACAGAGGTTATACATTCATACTAATGGCTCGAAAGAATCGATCAATCGTTTCGATCGAATTGTAACAATAGTTTCGATATATGGGAATTAATATTATTTTTATATCGATACGCTAATCGAGAATATTACGATACTGTAAAATATAAATGCAATAATCTCGATATGTAACGCACCATTATAATGTTCACTATAAATCTATCTTCATTAATGAGTGTATTAGTTCATTGTTAAACGTTATAATTTTAATTTGTACTTTAATTCTTTGAATTAACTATAAACTATGTTAATCCCTTTTTTCGGGGTTAAATTAATGGTGTCATGTGGCACATGTCAGTCGATTTATGAAGGGATCGAAAATTTCAAGTGCAGATGTAAAATGGCGATTTCCGTATCAAAATAATAAACAAACGGTGTTTCAACGCTTTTTACATTTTTATCCATTCTGTCTACACCGCTACGAGTACACGTGATCGATTCAAATCGAATTTTTGTTTTTTCCTTGAAATCATGCGCGTGTCATTATCTTATGTAATGCAATACCTTACACAAAACAAATTCTGGATTTTAGCGGTAAATTTTCTCGATTAAAATTGTATTCAAATATTAATTATATAAGAAAAGCAATAAAAAAAAGATGGTGCTAATGTGATAGACAGTCGTGCCAAATCAAAATTTTGATAAAGCAGAAATAGTGGAATTCGACGGTTATGTGCATACTACGAATCAAATCGATTTCATTAATTGCGTTACAAGTGCAGTCGTACGTGAATCAAAAGCACACAGCCACGTGCACATGTACTCGTTACACGCTTGCTTTTGTTGTATTATATATCTGAATTCTCGGTCTCAACGTTTTTCATTCAGCTTAATTTACCTTTGATTCAGAACTACGTTATTTTTTCTTTTTCTTTTCTTTTTCATTTTGAATAATATTCTCAGATAAATGGACCACTTAAAAAATGCATTCTTTGTTTCTCATTCACCCGCATAGCTTAAATAGGAACAAAAAGAAGATAAAGAGCATTAGCATAGTGCTATTGTTGCAGGCTGCTTACCGATGCACGACATTACTACCGTAGACGGTTATTTAGAATGCTGAAAATGCTGCTAGTAGACGTTTCGGTCCGCTTTCATTGCGTAAACGTATAATCTGCTCTGCCAGAGATCCACGTGTACTGATTTCCATGATGTAATCGTCGTCATCCGTTGATCGAATAATTCTAACTTATTTTGAATCAATGTTCACTGTAATAGAACTGTCCATGAATAATTGAATACAAAATTAGATATGAATTTCGGACAAATTTTTCCACTTAATTGGAATAATGTACCTGTGAAAATTTTTTAAATATCCAAAGGGACGCTCGTATCATGGGATTAGTTACATAATTTCAATTGTATTCTGCACGCGATTACGTAACCGCGTTATTGACTTTGCCTGGTGAAACGTAAAAGATGACCCGTAATATCTTGACCGCGTTATACGTACATAATTTTTTTCCTTTAAATTTTTGCCTGTAGTCTTGAAAGGAAGAGAAAAAAGTTCGAAACTTGTTAGCTAGTCACCATGTGTGAATAGACTCAATATAGTAGATTAATAATAACACAATAGAAGGAGAAGAAAGTTTTCTCACTAGTTGATTCTATTGGAGATTTAATGTAGAATGTGTTCGGAGAATTCGAGGAAACTCAAGACGTTTCTCGTATCGGTTTTGCGCGTCTGATGTATTCCGGTGAAAACTGGGATGTCTGCCAGAACCGAGGAAAAACGTGGCTGCTTTCTTGACGCCAGGTATTTGGCAGAGACGTGGATTCATCTCTTGGACGTTACACGCGTAATTTTTACGCCGCCATTAATTCCAAAAGCAGAATTACAATTAGAAAAAAAATTGTTCGCAAAAATGTACCTTACTTAATTTATTATTACTCGATGGCAATGCAGTTCTCTATTCAATACTTGCATTGTAGCCGGATAAGATGTACACACATGTATGTTTTATCAAATTTACTCCACCCTCACTGTTATGTAACAAATATCTTTCACTCCACCACTTGAGTTAAAAAAAGAGTATTCTTAAGCTGAGATACGCAGGTTAATTTTAGAAATGCCAGTAGTATCGTCATATCTGCTTCTTATGAGAGTTCAGTGATCATTTACCAGTGGGATACGTTATCACATATTGTTTCATTGAGCAACTCTATTCTACTTTTTGCATTCCAGTTGCTACTGTACCAAACTTGTACCGATATTAATTTAAAAAATTCTATTATATCTGAAATTAAATATACATCGATATTTACGAATGCAGAAGGCCACGTTCTTATCAGATGAATCTAATTAGCATATAAAACGATAATACGTGTCTCAAGTATCCAGCAGCGCGCGAGTAGCTGTTTTTTTCTCCCGGTCCAAGGTCAGTCTGCTTCTTTTAGCTTGACCTAGTAACCTTTGGCATTTCTTCGTTTTGCATTCCTCTTCGTGGAATTTGACAGCTGGAGTATCGACGGTGGAGTTTCTTCTTCCTTTGTTGTAATTCGTTCTACAAAGGGAGAGAATGAGAAATAGAGATAGAAGCAGAGAGAATCGATATCCGGTTGATCGCATAACGCAATGCGGTTCCGTTTCCAGTGTCACATGGAGACTGGTTTTTTTCGCGGGCAGCCAGTAAATTCTTCCGTGGTCAGATTTTAGGCAGAAAAAAGAGGACAAGGTGAAGTAGCGCGCTCAACGGCAGCAAGGTCGATGCTGAAGCTGGAAATCGAGCTTTTGTGTCTCGTCATTATATAATAGAATACTTATCATATAATAATGTATTATATTATTATGCGTTCGATGCCTATTCTTGATTTCCGCTTAGATATTTCATTTACAATATTCTATCGAAATTTCAGAAGTTCGGGTTTAAGGTTAGGTATCTCAGAAGAGATTCAGAAGTGGAATAATTGGATTCAGAATTGTGAGAAAAATTGGTTTGATTCATCATGCTATTCCAGTCGTCGGTTTTTTCTGGGTCAAATTATTACGGATCCTGCGAAACTTGCTTTCGTTATATCTGTCCTCTTTCTCAAGAGGGGGAGATACTTTATCATTGCTCAACTCTTCCAAAAATCTTTTCATCTAATGTTTCTAAGAGGCTACGTCAGTACCCTTATATTACACGTCGAATTTAATTTGTATAATTGTATAAGTTCTTAAATGTTCTCCCTTAGTAATTAGAAAATTGAATTAGAGAATCCAACTTTGGTTTTGAGAATGGGGTTAGGATTGCGTTTCAGTCGATTATGCAGGATCCCCACTTACCAACTTGGCCTCAGGAACCTATAGATCGATCGGTAACCATGAACATTCTTGGAGAAAATTAAAAAAATTTTACGGCAAAGAATGGGAATTTTTTTAATGAAAAAGTTGTTCCCTTTAATTTGTTCACAAACTTTTCTACACTCTTAATAACGAAAAAGAAAAAATTAGCAGTACAGTAGAAAAATACGTATGGCTTGATCAAGCTCTCCTTTAATTGTGTTGGCATTCAGGAAGGGTTTTTAGCGAAGAGAGGGAGAAAGAGGGGAATTGTGAGACTGGTGACCCGGGGTGCAATGTCGTATCACCGTGGGGGCCAGGAGGGCGCCGTAGCAGTCTCGTACAGTACCAGCCCGATGGCGCCGTATTCTCCTAGCAGGCGATGCTCCAGCGGTAGCGGCGGCACCAGTAGCTCCGCCATCGGCGGTTCCACCTCGAAGCTGAACACCTACAGGTCTACTGGTACCTCGTCGATCCTATACACATCCGAGTACAGGCGATCCTACTGCCCGTCAGGCAGGTGAGTCTCCCTTTCTTCATCTGGAATCCAACATCCCCATTCCTCTCCTCGTTCTGGATATTATTATGTTCCAGTAGATCCCAGGGATCGGCAATCGCGTTTAGAAATGATTTAGGAACAGAGAAGGCTGACCCTTTGCCGGCTTTTGTATTTTTGGGACCATTATTTGTCACTTAAGTTAAAGCTTCGAAAAGTGGAATGACGAATATAGCAGGAGACCTACAGTTAGTCATATAAGAGATATTCCATTTTAGTAAATTCCTATTTGCATTTACATGACATTGTAAATTAGGCTAATTTAAAATTCTGGCTCGTGTTTTTGTTCCACCATGTCCACAAAGGGTTGGTTCTTGAAAGTTGATAGCCGTCGATTGACTTCTCTCCAATCACTTTGTCTCTCAGGCCTCTCTCATTGGATGTGGTGGGGATGGCCTTGAACAAGCGGTTGATTATATCAAGACTGTATCACTTCTTTGCCTATGAAGATCATAATTGCCGATCCCAGGCTTCTCAAAAAAGCGAATATAGGCGTAGAATGTATTAAATAGTTGATACTCGATGGGCCCTACAGTTTCTACTCATCAACGGGTGCGAGCATCCGCAGGAACTACGTGTCGGAGTACAGCCGGTCTCGCAGCTCACCCACAAGGTGAGCAATACCTCGGGATTAAAACGGAGGTATAAGGCGCGCGCGGTTGCAAGATCAAGGCCCCGATAACTGTCATTGGTTCGACGCTGTGTATCTCTGTTTTCCTCCACTTCTACCTGAGATCTGACAATTAACTGTCGCACCTATAAGGCTTAACACAGACGGACCGCTTTAGAACCACACCACAATCACAAAACGGTAGTTGGGCTGTCGGTAGACTCAACCATTGAAAAGTGGTCACGAGTGGTCCGTATCGACTACAACGAACCACATCACAAGCTTGGTACCAAAATGAAAAAAGAGCCTGAACATTTTTTTTTATCGGTAAGGACTACAAAAAATGTGTATTTTTTATTTTCGATCGTAAAGGGCTGTTTTTTAAAAATTAAAAAACTTTCTTGAAAATGTCAGAAAATTGCACAATTTTTGAAAATCGAAAATAAAAAATAATCATAATATCTACAACGTATGCTAACGTCGAATGGTTGACAAGTGTTCCGCGAGTGGTTGATGTGTCGCACCGTGTGCGTTGTGCTCAACCACTGACGACAATTTTGTGAGTGATGCCGACCACGGATTGCGACAGCCATCGAAACTGACTTTCAGTCACTGGGTCCGTCTGAGCACTACCATGCATTTTCATGTTAATTCATGACCGCCCACGGGTAACCAGCGGCGACCACCGTTTTGTGGTTGTGGTATGGTTCTAAAGTAGTTTGTCTGAGTTAGGCCTAACGCTTTATGAATTTGCTTTCTTTTTTCGAGTCTTGAGAGTACAGTAGAGCGACCGCTTAAGTGACTATCCCATGAGAATTTTTTGTTCAGACATTTCCGTTCTTTAGTCCAGTGGACATTTTATTTTTACATGTTTCAAAAGTGCAATTACCATCGAATAGTTCCTCGATACCTGAACGGGTGGCACTACTGTATTTCTGGTGTGAAACCACGCTTGCCATCTAAAACAGTAAAAAATTCAAATCAGACTCCGTTTATGAAATACTTCAGCTTGTTATGCTTATAATTAGTGTCTTACTAACGTTACCCTTGGAATAAAAAGTGTAAAGCCGTCAATTATAGCGCAAATGGTCAGTGAAAAGTCTATTGTCGTTCAGAAAGAACCACGTGGTGGTGCTTCTTCCTTTGTACCTCCCGTCTGGGAGGATCACTGTTGTGCCAATTCAGTTTCTTTGCGTTATAAATACACACTCGGTGGGCAACAGGTACCCGACGACACCCTTTACAATGCGTCAATTACTTTTGTCCTTGGTGTGCCACAATGATCCAATTAGGAGGGCATAAGACCCCGTTTCTATGGCAAAGATCAAGGTTGTGGCAACCTGAGAACTAGTCACACGGGATTCTTTACCGATGGAAGATAATTTAAAATAGGGTCAGGTGACTCCTGAGTGACCTTGAACAGTGACCACGTTACAGTTACTTTAGTCTGACTATAGGAATTAATGGAAGTGGATTCTTAAATCCTCTATAAGCGGCAGAATTTATGAAAATTTCTTTAAAAAATATATGTAACAACATATGTAAGAAATTTGTGGCTTTCAAGTTTAAAAAGAAACAATATTTAGATGAGAAATAACTTTCAAGTCACCTATTCGATAACTATAGAGGACTAGAAGGCTAGAGTGCAGTCTAATTCCCTCTAGGGAAGAACTATCACGGTGAAGAACCACGACGTGGGGTATAAGTGCGTTACGTGTGCAGGTTGATCGATCGCAATTGACGCGTTGAGAAGGCCTTGACCTCGTCGAAGGCGAATTGTCTTCTGCCTAGGCGAGAGAGGAGAGTCACTTTCTACCCGGAATCCTGTCTACCGTTACCTCCACGGGATATCTGGCTCACGTGTGCACTCGCGAGCGCGTGTATTTTAAATATCTAGTTCGCCATGCGTCCCAGGCGCCGTTTCCAAATCTATCAACGGTGTCGAGCGTCTGATTTAGTAACCTACAAACTCCCTACTCCTTTTGTACTAATTTCCATTTCTTCACATTGGAACAACCATCTTTTCTTCCCCCTGGAACCATTTCTATTCTGAAATTAGCGTTACGAAATTTTTCGTCACGATATTTATCGTTCTACTAACATATTGAGGCACAGTGTTTACTCATGCTAGTGTATACAGTTAGTCACACAAGAGAGAATACATTGCCAAATTATTAAGCGATTTCATCAGGAATTTAAAAAAATTTTTTTTTTTAACAAAACTATAACCGGAAATTGAATGAAACCTTTTTCTAACGATATATATATATTGTATATAATATAGTATCTATTAGTCAGCTGTTGCAATATTTTTGTAAAACACATGTTGATGATCGATACATTATCCCGAAAGATATCACAGATACACTCTCGTGTGACAGACTGTACGTACACGACAGTGAGCGCGTGCAGGGGTTGCGTAATCGGCGAACAAAGAGAGGGGTAACCCTTGGCCGGTGGCCCAGCTGCGATATTCACATTCCCCTTAACGTTTACAGGTCAGTCTCTTCTACGACGTACACGAGCCCAGTGAGCAGCAGCGCTGGTCCATCAACGAATGCAACATCCAGCAGTAGCAGCAGATTCGGTTTATCCACCTCCTCCTCATCGTCCAGCTTGTCCATCAGCGGCACTTCTAGGGACAGGCTAGAAAGTACTACAACAGACCTGAGCAGGTACTCTCCGTCTGGCTACATACCGAACATCTCTGGCTCCTCCCACCACCATCACCGTCAGTGGAAGCACCACTCAACCAGCACAGCGTCAACTGGGTCTTCTTTGACGGAGCTGTTCGGCGAGGGTGGCCGTGAGACCATCGAGCGCACAGGGAGAGACTATTCGCGACCCGAGTCGTCACTCTCCTCGTCCTCATCGTCGTCTTCCGCCGCTGGCGTCTGGTCCAGGTCGAAGAGGCGGCCGGGCAGCAGCAGCAGCACGGTGCTCCACGGCGGGTATGCACGCGCGGACGGCGCCGCGACACCTGGCGAGGTAACAATCGACGAGCGCGGCAGCACGGTACGCGATCACCTGGACGAAGACGAGGACGACGACGACCAGGACGAGGACGGGGACGGGGACGAGGACGAGGACGAGGACGAGGACGAGGGCGACCGTACTAGCACCACTACTACCGATCGTACCGACGATCAGCACAACAATAACAACAACGTGAAACAACAACAACCAGTTGGTGGCAGCAATAACAATGTTGCTGCTGCCGCCAGCAGTGGTGAGAATGGGAACGCCAGTGGTGCCAGTGGCACAGAGGACAGTGGAGGCTACGGGGTGGTGAACAACAATGATCGTGGTGACCTAGACGACGAGGACGCGGACCTAGACGACGAGGACGAGGGAGACGCGCATCTGAACGGCTTGCATCGTCGCCTAGAGGTTTCACCAGCTAAGCGTAACCTCCTGTCACCTACAGTGGCAGCTGCCTCCGGTGGTGGCGGTGCTGGTTTGATTGGTGTTGTTAAGCTCGACTTGCTCACTAACTTAGCTACTAATACGAGTAACGGCGAGCTGCTGATTAATAATAACGCAAGGGAGAAGATCAGCGTTACTGGTGAGCTGGAGAAACAGCCAGAGGAGTTGGACATTGAAGAGGAAAGCTTAGAGGACGGCGACGAGCAGAGAAATACGTCTACGTCGTTCGTGGGCGGTATCACGCCGCCTATTTTGCAGAACGGCGTGGCGGGAAGACCGTCAGGTACCTACGGGGACGACCCGTCCGCACCATCCACATCTAGGAGGCAGGAGGGACACTTCTCTGGGTCTAGCACGAACACTGCCAGTAACTTGACCTCCTCTTCGCCCACGGGAGCGTCAACGGCGCACCAAAGCCTCTATCGCGGGGTCACCGACCAGTTTGTGAGTGTTCCTGGAACATTTAGGGCGACTAGTTCAGGATTTATCACGTGGTTTCATTGTAGGGTACAGAGTTTGTGAATTACAGGTAGAAACTTGAGGAGATTGATTGATAAAAGTCATTAAAGGGGACAAAAAGTGTTGATAAACACTTAGATTAACATAGATTTTATATCATTCGTGATTTGAACATAAATTTTGACCATTCGTGGTTTTTATCTTATTTACAATGACTACATGTGCTGGTTTAGATGAAGGAATGGATTAGTTTATCAAGACTTTGTTTTTTCTTCTGCTGATCTCTGTTAGTCTTTTAAGTTTCTATTTGTTGTTCAGAAACAACTTGTATATAGGAGTCTATAAATTTATCACCTTAAGAGTAACCACTGAACGATAAAAGATATTAATTAACTTTCCATGATTCTGGAATTAACACGTTTAGTGATTATTTAAAACGGCATCAATTTATGGACACCTTGTACATAGTAGCATAGGTGTATCAGGTTTCATTGGTTTCCAGTTTCGGCCATTTTTCTTCAAGCATAGTGTTTCCGCTAATCTGAAACACTTTCTTTCTGGTGCATTATGTTTAATTACTTCATTTACACGGTCTGTTGCGGTTATATAGTACCCCATGTTCGCATGACAATAGTTAAACCCATCAAATTTGCAAAGAATGAAATTTAATACTTAGAACATTGTCAATAGATAGGCCAGGTTCTCCCGATGAAAATGAGTCCAAACACGACTCCATTTCGACCATTTTTTGCTGAAAGCATTAAACCGGATATTCTTCGATTTTCGAGTCGAACTCAGAGAAATGTGTTCGAGATTCTCTTTATTGCAAGTTAGGTTTCTTCTTAAAGATACACATAAAATCTTTAGCTTTCTATCTTTCACAATTTCAAAGCACTGTTGTGAAACACCAAATTTTATACTTGTAGAGGGAGGGACACGTAAATCAGCCACAAACTATCTGAAGTAGTGAATGTATTAATAAACTTGTCTCTCATTCAGTATTTCACTCATAATGCGGGCATGGCGCGTCATTTTTCCCCATCCACGGAAGGTTCAGTGTCTCGTAACAAAACCTTGCACCATATAGTACAACAGTATAGCAACCGTGGAGGGGGTGATGATGCGACAAAACGTTACTTTATGCGCTTCCACGTTGCTACTTGTGTCTGTTACGAAACTAGTGGACGTTTTTCTTGAAGCATCTGCGCTCCTCAGTCTGTTCGGTAGTTAGCTAGCTTTAATAATAGACCAGAGCTCTTCGGGCAGGAGAGAGGGGGGAGAGAGAGAGAGAGAGAGAGGTGACGGTCAACGGATTTCTCATAACACATAACGGTACCCCCCCGTGGCAACGTAGTATGCATAGAGACGTTGAACGTGTATTATTCTAGTTGCTTCGTGATCCTCACGAATTGATTTATCTCTGTCGTCGATGGCAACGAGTAGCGTGCCAATTTGGCACACGGAGTGGGGGCAGAGTATCTCTGAATATACAGACACAACGCTACAAGAACCTTTTTGTTGTCGTGCGCGCACAGAGAAGTTTTCTGGTCTTTCCAGCAGCGACATGACGTTTGTTTGTTTGTCCTCTACGTTCGGTAACATGATGTTTGAGAGATGGACAGAAGTGGTTTCGAAACGTTACACAGTGTAAGCTGGCTTATACCCAAGTGATAGGCTGGGGGTTGTGGTGCGTGTGGGCAGTGATCACTTTGCTGTTCGTGTACGCGTTCCTGCTCGGCGTTGCGACACCTCTGACCAAGCAGAAACGCGTCCCTTCCGGTGTTTACACGGTACGGTACAGCCTGAGTACGGTACAACCTCCAGCCAGTCGTAGGAAGGTGAGTGTTGTGAAAAAAACAGAGACGATGACGTCGTTATGCACCGTTGCTTCTTTTTCTCAGCTGTTTGATGCTCTAGATTATTACGCTATCCTTCCTTTTATCAATATATTGTGTTGGACATATTTTATGCTCGGGACGATCCACACGTTCAGATCGAATGCATCCGGAAACGTACGTACAGTGTGACATGATGGACATACATATATACTAATCAATCAGTGTATCTACATAATATCTAACTGATTTCTAGTGCCTTTGTGTGTATGTAATACGTATCCCTTGGTTTTATATCGACTTCGTGGTATGTGCGTGTGTCGAGTGTACATTGGTGTGATATGCCGCAAGCTAGACACCGCCACCAGTAATGTTAAAGTAGTTGTCTTTTAGAACAGATTACGCGACGGTATCCAACGGTTTTCGTTCCCTGTAGAGACTTAGTTCTGGAAAGAAAAAAGTTAGGTTACAGAGGTGTAACATTGATCTGTATTGCAGGAGGGAAGCCCGACAAACAAATCGGCGCGTAATCGACTACAGGCGCACCGCGATGAGCGCTGTGGACTGAATGGGTTGAGAAACATTGGAAACACAGTGAGTATTGTGAATCTATATTGCGAAAATTACCTAACATATACCCTTTTTAACCTAATTTTTGCTGTTACAGTGTTTTATGAACAGTGTGATCCAATGTCTGAGCAATACAAGACCGTTACTGGAATATCTGCTGAATGAGCAGTACCTAGCGGACATAAACACCAGTATGTCGGGTATGAAGGGGGCTCTGATCAAGGCGTTCAGCCAGGTGATCCACGAGCTGTGGGAGGTGGGCGGTGACCACGTGGTGAACACGACGGCGTTGAAGTCTCAGATACAGAGATTCGCGCCGCGGTTCATCGGCTACAGCCAGCAGGATGCTCAAGAATTTCTCAGATATCTGTTGGAGGGGCTGCACGAGGACGTAAACAGGGTGACGGTGAAGCCACAACCAATACACACAGATATTCCTGAGATGTACACGTAAGGTTCCATGATTGATCTTCCTTGAATCTGAAATTATCAGAATTCGACCAGTAAAGAGACTTGATATTGGTTAATTTGTAAATAGGGACAGTCAGAAGGCAGTGGAGAGCTGGAAGCGTTACCTACGTAGTGAGGACAGCATGATAGTAGACGTATTCGTGGGTCAGTTACGCTCCTCGCTGCACTGCACCTCTTGTGACCACGTGTCGGTGACTCTGGATCCATTCTGGGATTTGAGCTTGCCAATTCCGGCCAGGAGTGGCACCGTGAAACTGAGTCAGTGTTTGGAACATTTCACACGAGAGGAAGTTCTCGATGGTGATGAGAAACCTACCTGTTCCAAATGTCAGATGAGGAGGAAATGCACGAAGAGCTTCAGTATACAGAAGTTCCCGAAGATTCTTGTTATCCGTATCCTTTTCACGATTCAATGAAAGTCGTATAATCATTTAGAAAGCCCTGTTGTATACATGCAAACATATACGGAAACAATATTTAGAGTCCTGAAAAAAATGAGTAATGTAATTTTGATTATTTTCCTTAATGAAATGCAACTGCAGATTTGAAACGTTTCTCACCAATGGAACGGTTCCGTAGTAAGCTCAACGTGATGGTGGATTTCCCATTGACAGGTTTGGATCTCAGTGCCTTCGCCGCGCCTCGAGTTCCTGGCTGCACGTACAACTTGTACGGTGTCGCGAATCACTCAGGCACGACGCACTCCGGCCATTACACGGCGTATTGTAAACACCCGTATTCAGGGGACTGGCACGAGTACAATGACAGCCGAGTGTCCGTTGTTCCGGCACGATCGGTCGTTTCCAACGAAGCCTACGTACTGTTTTACGAGCAACAGCCTCACAGCTCTCACTTGTAACCTTACGCCATTGCCTAGAGATATATACAAAACGACCATCTTGCCTCCTCTCAATACCTCAGAGTCCAGCATATAGTATGTAAACAAACAGACAAAGAGAACAAACAGAAATTAATGATAAACAAAATATGAATTTACATATACTTTATCGTGTGGTATTGAAAAGCGACTAAACATTGAACAAGAGATATAAAAAGGAAAAGCAGAGAGAAAAAGTACGTTGGTTTGGGATTGTTCTGGTTAAGCAAAAGAAAAGAGACGGAGTGTGTGATGAGTGTGTATTGTGTGACATTGGCGATAATCATGCCCCCTCACGAGCCGAAATTTTGCTCTTTTTTTTTCCTTAGGTGTAGAGACTTTTCTATACTTCGGCTTCTTTAGATACCAGACGCTTCGGTGCATTTTTCTACGAAGAATCGCTCGAAAAAATAGACCGTTGGAGGTTTTAATCATGATGTTTAGCATGAGCGAAAAATTCTTGGATGCAAAAAGTCACGTTCTCTTTCGGTTTTGTTCATTTTTACTTCTTTCCTCCCTTTCTTTTCTAGTTTCTTCTTTTTCTAATGGAACGAGAATAATCATGTTATTTATTAAAGAACAAGATTTGCCAGACAGGCTTAACCA